GAGAGGGGGGAGAGACGAGCCATGAGCGAATGAAGCTGATGCCAAGGAAAGAGTGCTGCGGCGGCGGATGTAAAGAAGAGCGGAGGGGAGGGCGAAGGGGATCACATGCAAAGAAGAAATGCATAGAGTCTCTAGGGCGTAACTGGGGAGGGGCGGGGGGAGGGTTCCGTTGGAGAGCTCAAGAGAGGAAAGGGCGCGCGCGGGGCGGCAAGAAGGACTCAAGTCCCCCCTAGCTTTGTGCTTAGACGCGCGTATATTCAAAAGGACAATCGCGGCCGCTGATAGTCCGCTGTACATGACTGTGATGGCGTCTGTGGAAGCGCCCTCTCCAAAGCCATCGGCTTCCTCACGCTAGGTCGGCGTCCCGGTTCCCATATGTTTGAGCGCGTGATGCAGCGACGGCTGGAGGACTGCAAGGCGCGACCAAAGGTTCGATCGCCGATGAGGTTCACGCGGCGTCACACCCAGTCCTGACAATAAACTGACCTAGCTGCAGTGATTGCCAAGGCCCCAACAATGCTATCAGCGGTTTTCGCCAAGTTCGCCCACAGGTCGTTACTCCGTGCACCAGCCGCTGGTACTCCAGAGAGTATCTGCAAAGTTATTGAACGCAATCCGTAAGCCTTCAAAAGAGGCAGTCCCTTTTAGCAGATAATGCAATCATGATGGCCGCCAGCAACCGTCAAGTTCCTTCAGGTTCATGAATCACATAAAATGGCCTTACCTGAGATATCTGAGAAGTAATACTGGCACGACTTAAAGACCCATAAGGGACGTCGCGCGCAGATAGCCTTGAAGGGACCTCGCGCTCCGATAGGATTGAGCTTATCGCTTCCCGTGCCCCTATGGCCTCCCCCGGATTTTGTGTGCTGTGCTCTTCATGTGGTGGTTCAGGTCCATATTCTGGCTGGTGAGCAGCCGGGCCTCCCCCAGAGAAGCAGCAGAACAGGCCCATATCCTTTCGCGGAGACTATCACCCCGCTGCTGGACGGCAGCTGCTCAACCCGCCTTCATGCTGCTGTCCAACTTTCTCATAACGCAACTTGATGGACAATGCCTGTTGTTGGCTCCAAGAAGCCAAAACCAGAAGTACCAAACACAAGCTGAGTTTACTACCCGTTATAAGGATAATACAGGTAGACAGATTATTTCATAAATAACTGTCAGGCCAAACCGTCATGCTGCACGGCGTTATCTGCGACTCCTGGTCCAACAACAGACGTGAACAGACTATTCCGCAAAAAAATATCTCTGTATTAAGGCAAATGGCTGACAATGTATTTGCACGGTCGTCCAGCAGTTTGAGAGCAGAGTATCTACACAGAAGTACGGCAATTTCCTGCAATTATGCATGGTTGGCGAGAATCGGCTAAAAACGATTGGGTTTCCATGCCATATATCTCATTGATGGCATGTACAGATCATAACACTCTACAGAAGCCGCCGTGGCCGTGTGATTTAGTCCTTGAGTGCCTCTTGTTGAGCATGGGAACGGTTGTCCAACTAGAAACAAAGCCGCGGCAACCATGACAGGCTCTTGATATAATTAGGGCGGCAATGTGCGTTAATGAAGCTTACAGGAGAGCAGATACTGCATGGGAAGATACCGTGTTTATAACCGTCTGAATACCGTAGTGCCTGTACGTTTTTATAACTCTTGAATTGGAGCCGGCCCACAAAAAGCGTGAAGTTTTGCAGAAATACTAACAATGCCACCAGTTGAAGAACGTCTGGACATGATCACCTCCTACTGATAATACTATACAACACTAACAATTGGATAACGTTTGGACATGATCATCGTCTACTGCGTTATTGTTACGACAGACCCTACATCAGCGCTCTTGTGTGCTTTTAAAATTGGTGGAGGCAACACCGCCGTACGTATCCTCCTGTTCAACCGGCCGGCTCCAGCTGCCGTATTTGACCTGCCTGGACGGCGATCACGACAACCAGCCCGGCCGGAAAACCTAAACAGCACACCTGACAATCACGTAGTGGATATGCGCACCGGAAGTACGTGTAATCTCGCAGGTTGAAGTGAACGACCTGCGACTGACCGCAACCAAAGGACTTGAGAACGGAAACACTAAAAATGGGTCGTCACACGTTGCTCCAACAAAAACGTAACGTGCCTAGATGCAAATCGTAAGTAATTATAAGCTGGCCGGGAGCATGTCCGAGCCGGGAGCATGTCCGTTTTTGAAAGCTTGCTCCGGCTGGCAGCCTGGTTGTGTGGGACCAAATTGCATAGCTCTGACCGGCCGCGGCTGCGTGGCGGTGTCTGTTTACGTACCGTCCACGCATCTTAGGTTATCACCGTGACTTTTTTTAAATCAGTCACCCTTGAGCCGCGGCCGCAGAAGGCATTTTATCGTATCGTCGGCCGCCGCGTTTATACAAGCCCTCCTAGATGGAATTTTAGTAGGAGAGTAATTTAACTCCTGTGCTATACCTTTTATTTTAATACACACATACGTATGACACCCAACCTCGTCTTCCTTGCACAAGTCAAAGGAATTTGTCTGACACACCCTACTACGGAGTTAGTTGTTGCTCCATAGGTAAATGCCATTTTCTGTTACAAAGAATGAAAGAGAGAAAAGGACTGAGAGGCCCGAAGAAGACGGGCCTAACGAACGGAGAAAGAGACACCGCAACTGAACTAACGCGAGGCTGCGCCAGAAACGGGCGGGCGGGCGGGCGCGCGCTGAACAACAAAAACAAGATAAGCTAACCAGCTTAATGCGCGCAATAAATGACGGCCCTGAGGACACGGGCCGTTGCGAAACAGTTAGTCTAACAGTTACGCATTGGGCCTTACGCCCAACTAACCCAGCTTACTTACGCAAGCTCGCATTAGTTGTTGCTCCATAGGTAAATGCCAAAGGAGAAGATACCCCCTCTAGCGGAAATAACAAACAAACTGAGCACCAAAACAGCGCAACGCGACGGGCCGCTAGAGGGACAAAGGACGCGAGAGCTGCCAGACAGGCACACACAGCGACACGAAATAAAGCTCCCCAAGCAAAACGCCTCAACGACCTCCAAACGATACTCCAGCAGCAAGGACGGCGGACACGCCATCTCTACACAGGCAAAAGAGCAAACAAACAGAACGCTGCCAAAACCACAAGGACGAGGTCAAACCAGCGCTCTCCAACCGCGCACAGACTGACCCACCGGCCACAAACGCGACGGATCCCTCAACAAACGCTGACGGACGCCATCTGAAGGAATGGACGATAGACACGCGAGAATGCCAAACATGTGCCCGCTGAGGGTTGACTAAACGGCCAACTAGGGCTTGAACTGAACACCGGCTCTGCAATAACGACCGCTCCACGCGCCCAGGGCGCTGACAGCAGGGATACGGATGACGAAACCCAGCACGACAAACAGCAAGGTCGGGCCACCTCCGAACCAACAGGTACACCGGCCAACTGTTCAAAGAATCCACACAGCACCTGCAATAAAGACCAACACAAAGAGAGTCTGACAGAGCCACGGAGTGCTGCAAATGCAACCAACTACTATAAAAACGCCGCCAGCAGGGGCTGTCTCCAGCACAGGGCGCTCTTGGTTAACCGAGCAAGACATACACGGAGCTCACGGAGTCCACGGAGCTCATGGCACTGAAAATAAGGCTGAGCAGCACGGGCTTGGATAAAGCTCTTGGCAGCTAGGAACTGACCCCACAGGAGCCCAACATAAACGGAGTCAGAAAGAGCCCCAGCCTACCGCGACACAGAAAACGCACAAACACAGCGATGCAAAACTGCCAGGTCTTAGCACCAACCCTGGGACAAGGTAACCTGGCAACCGGCAAAGACATGCGGAATGGACCAACCCTAGGCCGGCGAGCGACAGCTGCGATACCAACAGGTTATCAAAG